ATGAATAAATTATCGAACTTTCACGAACATAAATGAACGAACGAACTCATTTTTCAAGTACGTTCATTAATTAAACGAACATTAAATCTTGTTCTTGTTCATTCTTTTGATTAACAAATAAACATAAACGGACTTCCTACCGAGTAGTTCACAAATAGTTCACTGAACATTTGGTTGGTTTAGAGGCATATTGACCCGACCATGACTTTGAGGTTGTAATTCACTTTCCCATTTTTTTTAAAAAAATAGTATTACTTGTTGGTAATGCTCAATCCCACATAGTATTGGAAATACTATTGGGAATGGGTATTTATGGTTTGGATTTCCCACTTCCTTGTTGAGTGGAAGAGAACAAGGGGGACTCTCGCGCACCGCCGCCGTCCGTCTCGTGGTCGTGGTCGTACGTGTCTTCGACACGTTCGCACGGATACTATCTTTTTAGAGAAAATTCTTGAGGAATTTCTCTTTGAAAGAAACAAATGAAAAATGTGAAAGATTTTAAATGATAACAGCTGGTTTATGAGAGTTATCAGAAATTAAACAGATTTTCCTAAATTAAATAAAAAACGTTAAATAGAGAGCTATATTCAGCTTCTCAACTCACTCTCAACATTTAGAATTCACTCTCCAAGTGTTTTCTAAATATTATCTCTGTGTGCTTTCCGATAAGAAGAGCAATACCACCGGCAGTCCACTCCGATTTCCGGTGTATGGAATTCGGAGCGACCGTGTTAACATTGGGGGATGGTCTGCCTACTGCAGCGATTACACACATTGGGGCGAATTCGTTTCTAAGGCAGTGGTTATACCACGACACGGTTTACGAATCTGTTCCTTTTAATTACTGTTTATTTTTCCAGTCAGTGCTAACAATGTAGTTTTGCAGTTCATATATCCAACATTACTATTAAATTATAATTAGTATTATTATAATTCAAGTTTTAAACACGAGATTAATATATTAATAATCAAATATATTTTATTCTATACATAATCATTTGTTGAATAATATCTATAAATAAAATTTTTGCATAATATATTTTTTACCACATTATAATTATGACAAAATTTACTATAAATAAATCAAATATCACTTTTGGTACACCCAACTTGTCCAAAACATTTCTTTTCTAACTTATCCAAAACTTTCAAATCCCAGAACATAAGTTACATTGTATACGACACATTGTAAACATATATTTTATATCATGCTTTATAAAAGATAATTTTCCTTAGTAGCTGAAATTGACCTTTCGTGATATGGTTTAGTGTCCTTAAGAATGTTAAAAAAAATAGTGTCCTTAAAAATACTATTAAAGTTAAACAAAATCAAAATAATTAACCTCCCCAGATTAAGGGATTAGTGACCAATAATGTAATGCTAAGGTTATGACAATAAAAATTAGCTGACCATATTCCCATATGTAATGAGGTAAGGAGGAGGTAGGATAGTAGACTGCCTCCAATACCAGGTTGAGAGCAACTTCCGTGAGAAACCTCCAATTATGAATTGCCCACCGTAAGACAATATTTTTTTAATCTAGTGTGAAGTTATCAATCATAAATTTTTTGAGTTAAAATGTAATTCTACCATCATACGTTGATATGAACGTGTGATTTTACCAATTTCAGAAGTACCAAAGTATAATTTTACCATTTTTAGTATAAGCGTGCTTCACGTCGGGCGTGCTTATTATTATATATTAAGTAGATGGATCCAATTGACGTTGAAATTATAGTTATTTTGTAAATGGAGTACGTAAGGAAACATGCAATGGATAGGTTCATGTCATGACTATTGTCATCTCTCTAGAATTTACTTTATCATAATTTTCATATTTTTAGTTGACATAAATAAATACAGTTGAAATATATATATATAGGGATGCGGGTAAGAACGGTAGTCCTAAAAATTTAAAATTATTATATATTTAAAATTTTTATATGTATTTCTATTAAAAATGTGTTTTCGTATTTCTTAAAATTTTATAAGTTCAAATTTGTTACTCTAACTTAAAATCTTGTGTACTCACTATATATATATATATATATATATATATATATATATATATATGCCACGAAGTTGTCACGAAATTTTATGTAAAAAAGGTCAAATATGGGCAACGAATATCATGGTATGGACTTATGAAATCATTGCTCGATATTTATTACGAAAGGTGAAATTAAACTGAAAATAAATTAATTAATAAATAAGAAGGCAGCAGGAAAATGTTGATTTTCTGACGGAAGAACCCTTTGGTCCACATCAACGAGGTGTAGAAACACATTATTTTTAAAGTTTGAAAATCATAAAATAAATAAATAAATGGGAACACGAGCATGTGTTTATTAAAAGTTAATCTCGTCATAATAGCATTTGCCTGCTACGCAATGATAATCTGATTAAGAGTTTGGTTTTGAGAGTATGATTTTAGGTTTGATTATTAAGTATTCAATTCGAAATAGGGAGGAAGAATTTCATTTCGAATATATATTCTATAATTTTTTTTATAATTTATGTTCGTTTTATGATTTACATTATTTTAGAATTTATGATTATAATTTTTAATGATATTATTTTTTAATATTTTAATTAAAATTATATTGTTGAAAATATAACATATATTTTAATATATATATGTGTGTGTACGTTTATATATGAACAAGTAGATGGTAAGTACCAAGCAGGATTGTAAACGAACCGAGTCGAGTTTGAGTATTGATGAGGTCGATTCGACTCGAAAAATTCTAAAATGGAGTTCGGCTCAGTTCGAAAACTCACGAGCTTAAAGTTTTCAACCTTATCTCAAACTTGAAACCATGAATTGAAGCTCGTAAAAACTTGAAATGAAAAAATAAATCTTAAACTTAGCTAGATTGAAGCTCGAACTCGAACTTGAACCTTAAATACATAAAAATCTTATATTACATTTAAAAAAAAAGAAAATCAACACATTAATGTTAATATTATATTAATAATCTATTTTTTTTTTAAAAAAACTTAATATATTATATGTTCGAGTTGCTCGCAAGTTTTTCGAGTCAAATATAAAGTAGCTCGTTTCGACTCATTAAGAAGTCGAGTCGAATATTTATCAAACTTTAATCTTTTCAATTTTGAATAGTTCAAGATCTATCTTGTCTTATTTATATCCCTATGAATAAATCATTTACAAAATTGCGCGCGTTAATATTTCTTTTATTCTAATATTTATACGTTTCAATTATTTTTTTATTTTATTTTATGTGATAACTGATTTTTAATTTTTTATATTGATCTCCATGTGTTTCTGCTAGTACGGTGGCTGGCTACAAAGCCTAAGATTATAAGTGAAGAAAGACAAGGAATTACTTTATACTTATAACAACTGTTTAAGATTAATTTAATTATAATTATCATTTATAATATTTGATGCTGTCGTTTTCAATTTATTTAATATTTTTGTATGCAGAGACAACCTATTAATAATCAATTATTTTATCTTATTTATTATTAAGTAAAAAATAAAAAAATATACTCTCCGTTTATTATTACTTTTATTAATTTAAGATTATTACGAGTGATAGTAATGTTTTAAAGTGTTTCAGTTAGAGTAATGAGTATCGGTAAAAGTGGTTGAGATTCAAGAATTTGACTTTAAAAGGTCAAGTTCGAATTATACCAATGTCACTATTGGTGGATAATTTGTAAATTTCTATGTAAATCTAATTGGGTCTTAAAGTATGCTCTGACTCTGAACTGGGGAACCCGCCCCTAACTTAAAACTTTTTTGTACAAAAAAAAGGTTTTTCAATTATTTGATTATGAATATTCAAACATCTTGATGTTGTTGATTCTTAGACTTAACCTCTAGGGATAACAACCATCTCTTTAACCACTGAGATTATTTGGTTCGTATTCCTCTACTTATTGCTTAAAACTTTGATTTCATGTAGGACTAATATGTAAATTTTGATTTTATATTGCTGTAATTAGACTTAGAAAGTTTTGCTTTCAAAATGAATTCCTTCGGTGCTAGGATCATTCGTCGTGCATTATTTTTCATCCAATTATAATATTTTGATATAACTATATATATATATAGATATACTTATACAGTCTATCAAAATTAAATATGTTATTCGATCATCATATTTACTTGTTTTATTAATCTATAAATAATCATCATCATCTTAAAACCGACATCAACACTAAAGATCTATAGATAAAATTTTATTTATTTTGATAAATGATATATTTACACCGATACATATCGACAAGGGAAATAAATTGAGAAATTAGGCATGCTCCAAACACATGCAAGTCAACGGGTTTTATACATCATATCCCATTATAAACGCACACCAAACCGTGTTCGTATTGGTTAGAAGACCTTGGAAAATCAGAATCTTTCAACACCATTTTGGTAAGAACTTCATAGCAGTCCCTATACATTGATGATATTATGAACGTAGCCTAATGTTTCAATTAATTTTTAATAATTATATATGATTTTTTAAATCTTTTAATTCAAAACTCTTTTATTACTTACAATCTCATACTTAAGGTGTACATTTAGTCATTATTCTTTGATTTGACCGTTTTAAGTCCCCATAATTTAGATACTAAAATAATATGGGACTGAATTGAATATTAAGCCTAAAATAAATAGACTAGAAGTCGGTCTGTGCAAACTGGACGGCACCGAAGCTAATAAAAACAGGCGTTTATTTTTTTTCCCTCGACATGCCGTTTCTGATTTTAAAAACAGTTTTTTTTCTCATAATTATTATTCACTAATTAATTAATTAATTAATTATTTTGTCTTTCTTTCTTTTCTTCTATAAATACCCGTTCTTTATTTGCTCCAGCATCTTCCATTTCCACTTTGAAACCTCTTTGGCGATCTTCTGTCTGTCTGTATTTACCAGATTCCGATACTCCTCCAAAAGGAACCCACTGTCGTTATTTGTGTCGTCGGCTGCAATAATTCCAACAAAAAAAAAATTGTTAAATTTGACTTGCGGCTAAGTTTGTTCGAATCGTTTTCGGTTTCTTGTTCCTCTCGACTTCATCGAGGATGGCTTGCTTGGTTTCTCGCACCGGAAGGGACTTGCAGCGTTACGACAATCTCGGACGCCGCCAAGTCGTCGGGTGAGTCCCCCCCTACCCAACCCTTTCTGGTCAGATTTTTCTTCAATGAATGACGAGAAAAGCTAATAAATTTCTTCAAAATTTCGATGATTTGCAGATGCATTCCCTATAGATTTAAATGCAGCAACGATGGAACCGTTACTGATGAGTTGGAGGTTCTCTTAATCTCTTCACAGAAAGGTCAAAAGATGATGTTTCCCAAGGTACTGCAAACAAAAAATGGATTTTTTCCCTCCTTTTCAATACAAAGTATCCATTAAATCATGCACTAAAATTCATCATTTTTTTCCCAATTATTAGGGTGGTTGGGAGCTTGATGAATCCAGGGAAGATGCTGCTTTAAGAGAGTCGGTTGAAGAAGCTGGAGTTATTGGCAATGTTGAGGTTAGCCCTACACTCCTACTAGGTAATAATACCTTGTATAAATCAAAGTTACCGATTAATTATAGTTTTGCATTTGATGAACACAGCTTGAATTGGGGAAGTGGTACTTTCTAAGCAAAAGCCATGGCACATTTTATGAAGGTCACATGTTCCCTCTGCTTGTGAAGGAGGAACTCGACTTCTGGCCGGAGAAGAATCTTCGTCGACGGACTTGGGTAAGCCATTTATCGCATTAATTAACCGAATCAAATCTCGGGTTTTATTTAAATTAACATACGAATCGAGGGATCGCGATTTTTTTTAATTATTTTATTTAAATTGTGCAGATGAATGTGAAGGAAGCTAGGGATGTATGCCAGCATTGGTGGATGAAGGAAGCATTGGACATATTTGTTGAAAGACTGAGTTCTTTGCAGCAATAGAAAGAAAAAACATTTCAATTATCTTTGGTTTAGTAGTAATTGAAGAGGAACTCATTGTCTGTAAATAGGGGTTTTCTCTTTGATTAAAGGGCCAAGGAGACCGTGGCAGCATGGTAGATGTTTTCAGTTTTTTGCATGAGCCATGTTCTCTGTGCCTTCTTTCAGGTCAAGCAGAGAAAATAATATAAACATGTACAATTTATATAAAAAAAACCCCTAAATCTCAAACCTTTTAGAAGGAAAATAACATGAAGAAAATTATTGGGCCAAAGGCAAAAGATTCCATCATTCAATCATTTGATTCTTAATTTGTATTATTTCAAAACTTATTAAAAATTAGGATAAACTATGTATTTAGGACCTAAACTATCAATTTTGGTCGTATCAATTCCTAAACTTTCAATTTTTTCAAAACCATACTTACCGTTTAGTTTTTGTTTCGTTTTAGTATCTCACCGTTAAAAACTTAACGCATTTAGTTGGTCCGTTTTAGTACCTAAACTTTCAATTTTTAAAAAAAATTAATGTTAAATTTTAAACAGGGTTACTAAAGTGAAACAAAAACTAAACTTTAGGCATGATTTTGAAAAAAATTGAAAGTTTAGGTATTATAATATACCAAAATTAATAATTTAAGTACTAAATGTGCAATTTATCCTAAAAATCAAATTAATAAGGAGTCCTTAATCCTTATATCACATTACCGAGGACATCGTTTCAAAAAAAAAAAAAAAATACGCCATCTAGGGGCTTAATGTACCAGAACTAACTAGTAAAAGGCCTAGAGCCGGAAGTTATCTTAGAAACCAATCGCAGATGGGAACCCTTTTGAAAATGGTGAATTGGGTTCGAAAGAAGCCAATAGTATCCGCACTGCTTGCCTTAATTTCGCTAGAAATCGCTTAGTCTTATAAGGTATGGAGAGTTTCTAGTTATCATAGTGTTCGGAAGTTATCTTAGAAACCAATCGCAGATGGGAACCCTTTTGAAAATGGTGAATTGGGTTCGAAAGAAGCCAATAGTATCCGCACTGCTTGCCTTAATTTCGCTAGAAATCGCTTTAGTCTTATAAGGTAATGGAGAGTTTCTAGTTATCATAGTGTTGACGTGAGTTACCTTCCCTTTGCGTCGTATCTTTATCTGAGTTTCGATGCATATAACCTGTTTGATAATATTTTCCATCGATAATGAATATAGCCGTTTTGTGTTCTTTTCGTGTGTCTGAAGAGCCTTTTGCTTCCAGGTACTTCTCAAGGAAAGATATTCAGGTCATTGTAGGATGCGGGTGCCCGAACCTTGATAGGAAAGTTGTCAATTCCGGGAAGCGCTTAAGAGCTCATGTAGGCATTGTTGAAGGAAATGTATGTACTGGGCGTCTTCAATTTATTGTTTCATATAGTTGATGTCGTAAGTGAAAGAGAGGTTCTCTCTGTTTTTCTTTTCCCTGATCACTGGTTGTCTACCTTTCTTTGTAGGTATGCAGCTCCTGCAATTTGAGAGGAAACTGTGATAGGGCGTATGTAAAGGCGAGTGAAGACGAAGTTGGAAGGACCGTGGATGTGATGCGCATTTTGTTGACCTACGGTCTCGACTCTGTCACCGGTTCTGTCGACAACAAACCATGTCAAAACAAATTGGTTAAAGAATCGGTGAGACGACAGCTGAAAGAAATGGTTGGTTATGGCAGAGAAGATCAACGAGCTGACATGCCAAATGCTGCACCCTCAAGAGCGGGTTCTTCACGACACGATTATTCAAGTACACAAGGACACATAAAAGTTCCGATGAAGCCAGACGATTGGCTTTGCCCCAAGTAATTTGATAGCCTATTGTTATTGCAATTTGAAAATTTGGTTATCCAATTGTTTGTTCATTGTGACAGCAATTTGTCTTTGCTTTCTATTTGCTAGATTTGACTTCCTAAATTTTGCAATAAACATCAAGTGCTTGCGCTGTGACGGTTTTTTCGAAGAAAGACTGAGGCAACTACGGGAAGATCATGATCATCTGCCATTAAAGAAGGGAGATTGGATATGTAACAGGTACTGATTCTTAAAGGTCTTTTGAGTTTCTAATGGTGCATTCTTCATCGAAACTTCCAATTCTTACAGATGCAACTTCCTGAATTTTGCAAAGAATACAAGATGTCTGCAATGCAAAGAGAAACCTCCGAAGCGACATCTCAATCCTGGGGAATGGGAATAGGAATCGTGAGTCTTATCTTGCGTTTGATTTCCTTTGAATTCACCAAAGCACCAGTATAACAGCCTTGTTTGATATTATGTGGTGAATTCGAGCGTCTGGAATTATACAGGTGCAACTATATTAACTTCACACAAAATATGATATGCTTGAAATGTGACCACAAGAGTCTCGAATTCTTCAATCACATCCACTGGTGGATTTGAAGGCAACATCAGTAAATTTGAAGGGCAAGACAGAAAGCGATATGAAAGTTCAGATAGATGGAGATTTGTACATGAAGAGAATGTGAAGATGACTGCTTAGATTCAGGGACTGAGAATTCAAAGTTCTTTGATCTCCCCATTACAAGAAGTAAGCCTACCGTGCCACTTGAAACAGACAGGAAACGCAAGTCAACGTCGGAGATGTCGGAGACAGACAAGAATCCCACAAGGATAATGCAAAACGATGAATCTAAATGCAGCAACAGTCGGAGAAGGTCGGAATTGCTCAAATCTTCAGACGATGAAGAGATGGATGGGTGGTTTTGACGTCGATAGAAGAGCAAGCTTAAAGGTTAACTGCTTTATATCTGCATCTAGAAGTGATTGGCATGATCTAGATGAATGTTCTTTTTTATGATAGATTGAGGGAATAATTTTTAGATCAGATCTGTTCGTTTTTTTACTTCAAAAACAACGAAATATGATTAAACGTTAGACCAAATCAAAATAGAAAAATCTTCATTTTAAATCAAAATCAGAAACGATCTGAATCAACATGTATTTTGTACATTTGGGACGAAAGCAAGATTTTATGTTAGAGGGGACGAACTTGATCTCATAAAATTTTTGAGATGAACTTGAACTTATAAAATTTTAGGAGCGAAAACAAATTTTCAATAAAAAAATACATAGATGAAAATTAAAATATATGATAATTTTAAATTTTTAGGGGGCGACCGCCTCACCCACCTCACCTAGGAGCATCCCTAATATATCACTTAAGAAGCACTTCACAATTTTTTTAATATAATATTTGAAATATAAGTTTTATAATCCTTAAATTGATGAAAAATACGTACTTTAACTACTTTTGAACTCACTAATTATATAATATTATTGAAGTTATAATTAAATTATGATTCGATAAATATTATTCAATTTATTCTGAAAAATATAAAAATTTAAGATATAAAATATAGATAATAGAAAAGTGGTCGCCTATACGAGAGGGAAAGAATTTTGTTTTTGGGTTAACTACGAATATATTACCTTAATTATCAGTTTTAATCTGTTTTAGTTTTTAAATTTTTATTTTTTTTTCAAAATTATACATAAAATTTAGTTTTCATTTCATTTTAGTACCCAATTGTTAAAAACTTAACGCGTGTAGTACCTATCTATCATTTTTTTGTCAATTTTAGTACCTAAACTTTCAAATTTTTCAAAAATTAATGATAAATTTTTCATGGGGTACTAAAATGATAAAAAAAACTAAAACTTTTAACGACGGAGTACTAAAGTGAAACAAAAACTAAATTTCAAGTATGTTTTTGGAAATATAAAAAGTTTAGATATTAAAACGGACTAAAACTGATAGTTTATATACTAAATGCGTAATTTACTCTTTATTTTTCTTTATCTCTATTTCATTTCTCTTAACAACCTTACCTTTCCTGACCGCGATCCGAGACAAAGTAGCAGTGGAACATTCAGATGTCAGTTTTGAACAGTTGTTGTTGACTTTTCGATTTTAGATTCCAAGCTTTCTCCTTTAACATTTCCCCTTTATCCTCCTCCATCTTTCTTTTAGTTTTCATATAATTTTACCATAATTTTTTTGGGGGGTTTTCCCCTCTTTTGAATTAAAGGAAACTAATAACTATAGCTGTTTGTTCTTTCTCCCCCCCCAACCTTTGAATTGCGAAGATCGAGAGAACTGATGGGTACAGAAGGATCAAGTGTTGTTGGTAAGTTTTCGATTTGCAAAGCCCTATATTTCTCTTATTTATTACTCAAATTTCCTCTTTTTTCTGTTATCCCTGAAAAATTGTTATTATTCCGCTGCTGTTGTTGCTTTGAAGGTATATGCATCTCTGGGTTTTTCCTTAGGGGAGTGATCATCCTTGGATTTGGTCGAAATAGGGTTTTGGTTTTGATATTGGTGTTCTTTTGTTTAGTTTAATGTTCTTGTTTTTAGATGCTTGAGAATGGAGTTTTTGTGCTTGGTTTGATATTCAAGGTGAGAATTTTTTACAGGAGATTTTTTTTTTAAATTTTAATGGGTTCTATTACCAGTGTGAGATGGGGATCAAATAATAGAAATGTTTATGATTTTTTGTTTGTAGCCTTGAATTTGGAAATTATTTGAAATTGTAGGGATAAAATGAAAGATCTGTTATTTGAAATTTGGATTAAAATAGTTCTGTTATTTGTTTTCCTTTTCACTTTGCGTTCTGAGGTACTCCTCTGAGTTTTAAGGTTATTCGTGATGGTGGGATGCATATGCAACTATTTACGGAGTGCTAGCCATCTTAACTGAACATTTGAAAACAGATGTCTGTGGTTTAGCTTGTATGCTATCGGGATTACTTCAGTTATTTCTGGTATCTTGTTGACTGTTTTGGATTCTTTGACATACCATCCAAGCATTTCCTTTTAGTCTTGGATTTTACGTTTTGCTATTGAAGAAACTTTTGTTTTTAATATTTTTGAGAACTGCATTTTTTAAGGATGGTCTTCGTAAAATCTTCATACGTGACTTTGTTACAATTATGACCTAGGGACTAAAATGTCTGGTCTTGTGCAGTGCCCAGGAATTTCAGATTGCTGGAAGAGCTTGAGAGGGGTGAAAAGGGAATTGGGGATGGAACTGTTAGCTATGGGATGGATGATGCTGATGATATATACATGCAGTCATGGACTGGGACTATTATTGGCCCCCTTAATGTGAGTCCTTCTCTCTCTCTCTTTTATTCTTTTCAGTAGCCCCTGTGTGTGTCTCTGAATTTGAGTGGAAATGTGCAATAATGAGTGTAAGCCAACCTCGAAGTTGACGACTACTTGTAGCTAAGCGAATTTTTGCAAGTTAATGTCATTCTTGATGAGATATTTGACATGTTGTTGGATACCAATAACATGAAAAGAAGATATGCTCGAGGCAAATTAGTCTGTTGCTCAAATTGGAAGACTGCTTCTTTCTGCACCACAGGGTAGAAAATAGTTGACTGTCCTAATTTCGCTTATATTTTGACAATTATAGCTTGTTGAAACATATGAGAAGATAGTAGTGCTTTTCATATTTACGATCTTTTAAAAGACCTTTCTTGGTACCTTTCTATAGGAGTTGCTTAGGACTTTCTACCATCCAAACCCGACTAATTTTAATCGCTATTTCATCACATAATTCACCTGCTTTGTTATTAAATAAAAAGCACTTTGTTTGAAAAGTTGAGCTATTACCTGCAAAACCCATTGAGCCTTATTAAAACTGTGTCACCTAGAATATACAAGCTCTATGATCTAAATCCTTTTTGCAACTCAATTTAGCTGGAGCTTTGAACATTTGAAATATACTTCAATTATTCTCTCATCTTATGACAGTATACAATGTTTGTATTTAACAATTTTAATGCCTTTAACTAAAATTAGAAATCTTCCCAACTTCTTTATTTTGAGAAACTATGTTAGAGATGCACATGCTGATGTAGATATGCTTTCGTTCACTAACGGGACATGCAAATCACCATCAACATGTCGCGTTTACCGCCCTCCAAACTTGTCGTCGTTATTATCTCTTTCTTTATGAAATACGTGCTTACTCATAAAACAGTCAATTCTTGGTAATTTCAATTCATTTAGGTCTAGTTTGTTGCAAATGATAGGATTAGATCAATTGGCTTTTTGTTCAATGCTGTAGGTCATTAGGTCTTCATAGAATGATGGGATGGTTTGATTGATTATCCTACATGGGCAGTATTAGACAATCTTATGGAGAGGAAAACGATTATCATACTGTATAAGATTTTGTAAATGTAATGAGAGCCTTTTTAGTTATGCACGCACCAGGAAGAAAAGCGATGAAGTTAAGAAAATTGACTTGTTAATCTTGTTATTTTGTCCCGTGCATACTTCCATACACTTGATGCGACTTCAATGAAGTTACCATTGCTTTTGAAACTTAATTAATAATGATTTCTCTTAATCCACCTTGTAAGTTGATATCTTACTTGTTTATGCATGTCAGACCGTTCACGAAGGGCGCATATACCAATTGAAACTGTTCTGTGGCAAGGATTATCCAGATAATCCACCAAGTGTGAGGTTCCAAACACGGATAAATATGACCTGCGTAAATCAGGAAACCGGAGTGGTAGGGGATGTTTTTCTCACAACCTTTTATGCTACGGTATGATACTTATAGATCTGTTATATTTCCAGGTTGAACCTAGCCTTTTCCCCATGCTTGCTAATTGGAAAAGGGAGTATACAATGGAAGACACATTGACTCAGCTGAAGAAAGAAATGATGTCTCCACAGAACAGGAGGCTCGCTCAGCCACCTGAAGGTGTGTAGATCTTATAATCTCTTCGTATTATGTCGTTTTCTTAAGCCTGTCCCTTAAGTGAATTTAGTTATCGAGGATGGTCGAATCGTACTATAGAAAGTATTGGCATTTGAATGAAATGGTAGTCTACGTTTATTTGCATATTGATCAACTGAATGTTATTTGCCATATATCGATTCCCCATTGCCCGAATGTTCTCGTTTTTACGCATGTTATGTAAAAATTAAAACGTGATAATATTTTCCTAGGCAACGACGAGGCGAGGCCTGACCAAAAGAGTTTAGCGATGAAGTGTTGTATCGTTTGAAATCACCGAAGACGTTTTGTGTTCACATCTGAGGCAGCTTCCTTAGTTGTCGTTTCGTATTTTCTCAATGAAAAAAGTGCGTCGTTTTCTCTCATTTCGGTTATCTTTCATTGCATGTTATTATAGCCCCGCATTATACCAAGTATTTATTTGTATAGAATATCTAAATTATTAATAATTTTATTAAATTTTGGAATCCGAGGTAATTGTGTTCTAACATATTCAAATCCACGTCTCTAAACTTGGAACAAAATAAAATAATTTTTTTTATCAATTTTTTAAACATTGTTATCACACTCGTTAATTGAATAATAAACTCGACCTAAATATGATATAATTTTTAGAAAATAATGTAATAAGAATCCATCAAACCGTCTCAGTGGTTAAAGAAAGTATTTTTTTTAGGTCTTAGATTCGATCAGTTGTGTTTGCATGTATGTTCATTATCAATGGTTAAGAAAAATTTTAAATAGAAACTATCAAACTTTAGTAGCTAAAGGATACGAGCATTCATAGTATCAAAATTTGAAAGAAATTGTCGAGAATTAGGCGTGTAAATGAACCGAGTTTGAACAAACAAGTCTATGTTCACGTTCGTTTGTTTATATTTGAAAGTGTTCATGTTCAATTCGTGTTCGTTTAATTTTTCAATATCATGTTCGTGTTCATTCATTTATTTTCGAAGGTGCTCGTGTTCATTCATTTAACGTTCGTGAACATGTTCGTTTAGCGTTCGCAAACACGTTCGTTTAGTGATCACGAACATGTTCGTTTAAACGTTCGCGAACATGTTCGTTTAAACGTTCGCGAATATGCTCGTTTAGCGTTCGTGAACACGTTCGTTTAGCGTTCAAGAATATGTTGATTTGGCGTTCGCGGAAATGATCGTTTATATATGTTCAGAAATGTTACTAAAAAATAGAAAAGAACAATTAAACAAAATCACCTACTAAAACTTATATAGCAATCCACAATAACAAAATACAACCTTAAAACATACTAGCAATATTTAGAAACATCCATGAACATTTCCGTCTTAAAACATACTTGAAAATAAAATGGAACAACCAAATCATACGAGTAGCAGCTTAGCAAAACGTCATCCGTCACATATCGAACAACACAATCAAAACAACAAAATAAAATGGCAGGCACAACCAAAATATCCCTCCTAAAACGTTAATCAATTCACCTGCAGAACCTAAGAAATAACAACAAACATCAAGAATGGTCAAACGAAATTAGTAGCAACATAGACGATTATAAACATAAACATTTAAAGTTAGAGCATAAACAATTAGCAGCAACATAAACATTTAAAGTAAAGAATAGTAAAACGAAATTAGCAGTAACATAAACATTTAAAGTTAGAGCAAATAAGAGTTATAAACAATTATAAACAATCATAACATGAGTTAGTATAATAATAATTACTAAAGAACTTCAACCCAAGTAATCTTTCTTTCACTGTTAAAAAAGTTATCAAGATTAAAAACTGAAATTTTTGAAAACAAGAACTAACCAGACTCGAACTTAACTAATTCACTCCCCCAATTGAAAGATTAAATTGTTATTTCAAATATGAACGGATCAGAAATCTAAAAACGAAAGAGCTCCAAAAACAATTTGTTCAACTCTTTGACTATTTACTTGCCCCAATATCAGTTTCTGGTCAAGGCATTAAGGCCAAAACTACTGTTGAATGGATAAAAAATCTAAAAACAAATGAGCTCCGGCTTTCCGATTTTTACTGTACATACCTAAATCTGTTTCCGTTGAAGACGTGTATCGTTTCAGCAGCTCAAATCTGCAGAGTCGTCGACGATCGAGCTGAGAGAAACGAGTAAAACATCGACGGTGTAAAACACGACCTCACAGAAAGATCTAGGGTTTAATAAATTTCGTGAAAAAAAATAGAGAAAACAGAAGAGAAATTTTTTTAGAGAGGAGCGGCAGGTTGAAGGGAAACTAGAGGAGAAAAGAATTTTGGAGTATAATTAGGAGTAAATGGTAAAACTACACAATTGGTGCTTAAACTTTTTAGGATATATAGTTTAAAATCTAACTTTAAACTTTTTAGGGTTCAATTTTGAAGGGAAAAAATAGGGAAAATATCCGTCTCCATTCCTAAAAATTGTGGTAAAAAACATGCACTTGGCTAAACACGGAAGTGACTCTGGTGTATACGACAAGGATGGAACAACAACAACAACAACAACAACAAAACCCAATTCCCATATGTATGGGGGTAAGGGGGAGGTAGGGTAGTAGGCTACCCCCAACGCCAGGTTGAGAGTAGCTTCCGTGGAAGACCTCCGGCAGTCAGAAAATTAAAAATTTAGATAAAATGCAATGCATGTATAAATAAATACATAAATACATAGCTAAACAGTATTTATATGCAGTCATTAAAATCATATGTGCGTCTGTAACGGGAATTAATTTCTGCATAATAATCCCTGCGAAAGAATCTCTGCATATAGACAGAAACATAAGATCCGGTTAAATTTAAAAGAGGAAAGAGGAAACATGAAGAGAATGATACACAGAAGTCAACTTTAGCAAGCCCAGTTCTAATCCTTCATAAATACCAATAACAGAAACGTATAAAAAGTATAAGTCATGGAAAATACTACAAAGACATTAAAAAGAAGACAGAGATGATACACCCTATAGATGTGACCCACACTACTCGACTACCCTAGTCTTTAGCCTCCATATTTTCCTATCAGAGGTCATGTCTTTGGTAAGGGCTAAATCCCTCAAATCAGATCTTAAGCAGTCTTCCCACTTTCGCCTTGGTCGTCCTTTCCTTCTGGCACCGTCGACTGTAATCGACTCTACCCTCCTTACCGCATCCGACGGTAGTCGCCTAAGGACATGCCTAAACCACCGTAGTCTTCCCTCCCTCAATTTTTCGGAAACAGACACCACCCCCAAGGACATCCTAATAGCAGAGTTTGTCGTCATATCCCTCAGAGTCCTACCACATGTCCATCGAAGCATTCTCATTTCTGCGGCCTCAATCCTCCTTACGTGATCCTTCTTGGTTGCCCAACATTCTGATCCATACAACAGCGCTGGTCTTATTGCCATTCTATAAAATTTTCCCTTAAGTTTTAGAGGGACCTTCTTGTCACACAGAACTCCAGTAGCGGCTCTCCACTTTAGCCATCCCGCCTTTATACGGTGTGTAACGTCATCATCTACACCCCCATCTTTATGTATCATAGACCCTAGGTACTTGAAACAATCCTTTGAGGGGAGAACGTGTCCTTCTATGCATACTTCTACATCTTCATCGTTTTGGTTCCCATTGAAGTTTGAACATAAATACTCTGTCTTTTCAATATTGATCCTTAAACCTTTTTCTTCCAAAGCAGTCTTCCAGGTAGCCAGTCTACTATTCAACTCAGATTTTGTTTCAGCAACTAAGACAATGTCGTCAGCGAAAAGCATACACCATGGTACACCGTCTGGTGTCGCACAATAGATGTCGTCCATAATCAAGGCGAAGATGTAAGGGCTAAGAGCCGACCCCTGGTGGAGTCCGATTTCCACCGGGAATGCCTCGGTGTCGCCAACTGTAGTCCTGACGTAAGTAGTAGATCTACAGTACATATCACGAATCGCCCGGATATAAGCAGTTGGGATCCGTCTCGTTTCCAAAGTCTTCCAGATCGTATCGCGGGGAACACTATCATAAGCCTTCTCAAGGTCAATGAACGCCATGTGAAGATCTCTAGACTTTTCCCTATATTTCTCCATAAGCCGTCGAAGTAGATGAATCGCCTCCGTGGTAGACCTGCCTGGCATAAAGCCAAATTGGTTTTCCGAAACCCTAGTAACTTGTCTCAACCTAGCCTCTATCACCCTTTCCCATAGCTTCATGGTATGGCTGAGGAGTTTAATACCTCTGTAGTTACCACAACGTTGGGGATCTCCTTTATTTTTATAGATTGGTATCACCGTAGACTCTCTCCACTCCTCTGGCATCTTGGCAGTCTCTAAAATAATATTAAAGATGTTGGTCAACCACTTAACTCCCTCTTCTCCTGCTAGCAACATTTGTAAAACCTGTCCTCATCCGATTGAGTTTCTCTACAACAGTGCCCGTTTGTGGACAGAGTTTCAGCTTTGTTTTTGCCTTTTGTTATCTTCAACTGGGTATAATACACCAAGCATTTGCAGCCTTGTTCGAAATTTCCAAATTCCATTTCCAGTACTAAGTCAGTTTGAACAGATCCGTGGATAATTTCTTCTTCTGCTTGGTTTAATCCCTCGTTTGATTTAAGTACCGAAACTTCAGAATCTTCAGATCCCAGATCTTCCTGGGGTTTTATCATTCTTGATACTTCCATCGTAATTTGGGAAATTGGTTTAGAATCAGGGGACCGCTTATTATTATATTTTTCGCTTATTTGAATCTAACTTTCTGTATTTTTAGTATTATTATTTGTTTTCAGCTCAGTTTTCTCGCACTTCCGAACGAACTTTCCAGGCTCAATTTCTTCCGCCTTGCAGCTCGATCGGACCACCTTCCTCGTAGAGTAACGATCGCCTTCGTCAGCGGTTTAATTTCTGAACAAAAATTCTAGATTTTCTCTTTTTCTTCTAATTTCATAAGATTTTGCATGCTAATTTCTTGATAGGTAAAGGTTTGATTTTGTGATATAGCACGGTTTTTATCAGATTTTTATCTGAACAAAGATTGTTATTTTCGCATCCACGAATTTTGATGTATCCCTTTTAGCTCTGTCGTTGTTTTGCATATCCCTTGCATTTTTTTGTACTTAATATTTCTTAATCTTGTTGTTGTTGTTGGATCTGCTTTCTTTGACTTAGCTTCTTGCTGTTTTTCTCTTGTTTTTATACTGATCTTTTTTTACCAGCTTTGGGTTTGATGTTTTTCAATTAGTTGAGTAGGATTTCATTACTCTTATATCTCGTGTTACAATTTTAATCCTTTTTTGCTTAGCTCGGATATTTATTGAACATTTTAAATTATAGTTTCTAGATATTGGCCTATAGTTAAATAAGATAGTATTATTTTTTCTTAAAAATCCTATTAAGTAACCAACTAGGATTTTTAGT